CCCCCCCCCCCCCCCCCCCAACATAACAAATGATATGCCATAACCTTCCCCCCCCCCCACATAACAAATGAATGTTGCACGAACACCAAAGCCGATGTGAGGGCGACGTTAAGCAGATATTTTGGGTGTTATGTACATGTGTTTATCTATTGCTTGATCTTCTCCTCCTAATGAAGTTTTTAATAATGCTAGTTTTAGTCTCTCATCACCCATTGTTATGCTTACAAACTGAATAACTTCTAAGAAATTTCAATTCCCAAAAGGAAACAAATATCAAATGCAAATAATAGAGACCAATATACATAAGAGGAAGCAAAGAGAATACGGTAAAAAATAGGAAAAAAAAATTACTTGTAACGTTAGATGCCAAAATCATATTAAAAATATCAACTATTACTATATGTAAAGAACTGGATCAGTATAAATCAATAGATTGCAAAAAAATAAAAATAGATCAGTACTTAAATTAGAAGCCCTAAACCAATAAAAACCAAAAAAATGTATTAATCAAGAAAGAGAGAGGGAGAGAGAGGAAAGGTTGCGGGAGCGGGGGTACCGTTGATTTGCAGTTGTTCAAGTTTGTCATGCAATTTCGAACGAGAGAAGGAGAAGAAGATAGAAGGGGATAAGGGAAAGCGAGAGAGAGAAAGAGTGATGTAGAGAGAGAAAAGAGATTAGGGCACCAGTGGAGAGAGAGAGATCACCATAGAGGAAAGGCAAGAGAGACAAGGAAATAAAAGACAAAATGGGTGGACACCCAAGTTGTGACTTAAGATCATCGTAGACCTAGGTTAGTGATTGCAACATGCTTCTTTGGCTTCCTGAAATTCCAAGAGGCATCGAAGTGGGTGCTTGGGACCATTGCAGACGTAATAGGGACTTTACAGGTCTTTTAGGTCTATAAAGCCCCAAACACTACTTCAATGCTCGCTACCATTATGGACATGTTAAGACAGCCCCAAGCACCCACTTGGGTGCATAAGGCCAAATGTCATGACTTTTACAGAAAATTTGTTGCGACATTATTGCGCCTATGAAGGCATTTTAGGTATTTAAAAACGAAAAATAGGTATGAATGTGAATTTGAATTTTTTTTTAACAATAATGGGTACAAGGTCACAATTTTTCTTAACCAATAGATGTGAAATCTAACATATTAAAATGTATCGCAACCTTGGAGAAAATTTGTTTTGAACTTTTTTTTCAATTAGTGACATTTCACAACCCATCCAATTTCACATTCAACAATTGAAAATGATTGTGACCTTCTTGTATCAAAAGTAAATAGTTTCATCATATACATTTGAAAAAAGTTTAGGAGTCGATGCTCTAAATAATCAAATTAGAGCACACCTGAAAAATTTCATTAGAAGAGGTTGCTTTGATGCTCAAATATCTTCAAATTGATCATCTCGATATCAAGATGCATGGACATGAGAAAAAAATGGATTTCAAGTTTTGAAAATAGTGCATCTTTGCATTTTTGGATCATCAATTTTCAAGATTTTCAAATTTTCATAAATTTGCTCGATCTACATTATTTTTGAAGCTTTAAATTTTATAATTAAAAATTAAATATATTTTAAGACTATCACAAATATTTCCACTATTTGAAGACGTGCTTTACTTTGATTGTTTAGAGCCTCAGCTTTATACAAACCTCACCCTATACAATTTTTTTCGAATACTAAATATTAAAAGAAAAAATCAATAATTTCCCTTTCTCCCCCGAAGAAATTAGAGCATTAGAGCTATATCAATTAGACATTAGGTTCTAGGTTTTTCGAGGAAAAAGCAATGGAAATTTGGTGTGTTGATGGATATATAAGTGGGTGGGACACGTGACATGTGGTATATTAATAATATATACATGTGGGGTGCGTTCCACACATGGCTTGACGTGCCACTGCCTGCCACTTCATCATTCCTTCTTCCTTTCCCATGACACATCTCTCCATTCCGTGCCCTTTGTCTCTTCTTTTGCTTTCCTCTTCCCCAACTTCCCAACATGCTCCAAATACCATTAAAGTAAACTCTTTCCGTTGGATTGCCTAAATCTTTTTTTCATAATCCATCGGAAGCCCACAAATTTTCGACAGAAAATATATGGGTGTTATTTGTACAAGGTTGCGACCTCAAACAATTCAAGTGAGGTTCACTTTCAAACTTTTTTATGAGATGTAATTTTGGCGTTAGAGGTTTTTAAGATTATGTTAGAATCTATTTTTATTTCTAATTATAAACTTTTGCACTCTAGAAATTGTTTAAATTTTTTAAAATAATGTTGGAATCTATTTTTATATCTTATTATAAACTTTTACATTCTAAAAATGATTCAAATCAAGCTGATATATAAACATATAAAAATCTTGAAAACGAGATATCTAGATAATGTGTTGAAAGATGTACTATGTTAAGACTATAATTTATTTTTATTTTTTTAATATCTATAAAATTGATCCATTAGAAATATTTCCAACATCAAAATAACCTATTTTGAAATATTTTAGAAGTGCAACTTAAATCTGCATTTTAAAGTGTCTAAACACTATATACACTTTTTCCAATATATATTTCACTATTAACCGCTTCAGTTAGTTGCGGTGCAGGTTGTAACGGCCGACCGTTGCACTAGCGAGCGGTAACGCCAAATCCTGTGGTAACAGCTCAAATCAAGGCGTTATAAGTTTACAAATTAAACGCCTCCATGTGAGCGTTGGAAAAGGATGCATAGATTTCTCCCTAAACAAGTCCATTTGACAGTATTTGATTAACACCACCTATACTTTTATTTCTAAGTTTGCATTTGATTAACATCAGCTTTATATGTATAAAGTATACGTAATTATGCTCTTAGCCATCAAATTTGAGTAGATGGTTAGGGTGGATTGAGACACAATGTCACAAGTCGGCTCTGGAGCATCAGATCTTGATGTGATGGATCAAAATATTTTATTTTGAATACCTATTCTTGCAGCAAAATTTGGGGATGTATACATCAAGAGCGCACATGAAACAATTCATAAAAAGCATTTTGTTTGATAAAAATTACCAAAATACCTTAAATCTTTAAGAGGCATTTTGGTCATTAATTTTTCAAAATTTCTTTCTTTTTTTTGCTACATACGCTCCACTATGAAGATGGTTAGGGTGGCCGACGCCACAACATAAAATCTTCAGTTTCATTTCTACCTCTAGTAACTATCGGGAAAAAAAGATGAGATGCCCCAAATTTCACTTAAAAAGGTTTTGTATAAAAGAAACTGACAATCAAGTAACGTTATGTGCGACATTATGATATGATCAATTTTAGAAGTGTATTCAGATCAAATGGCCGAGATATGGGGTTATTTAAATCAAATGGCTGAGATGTGGGTTATGTGCGACATTATGATATGATCAATTTTAGAAGTGTATTCAGATCAAATGGCCGAGATATGGGGTTATTTAAATCAAATGGCTGAGATGTGGGGTCACGTATAATCCGTATGTCTGTTTGGTAATTGAAGCGTGCTTTGCTAATGCGATTAAATGGTATTTCCATCCCGTTATCACTGTTTATGAAATTTTATAGTTGTGTTAAAAGTCCAAAAAAAACCGTTTACATTTGATTATAAGATATTTGAAGGGCATTGCCGCAATGACTTAATATGGTGGGCTCATCGATATTGATAGTGAAAAAAAAGGATGAGGTTGAGTGGGCTCGCTTTGGAGTCACCACCGACGGTTAATGACTCAATTCGGTATTTTGTCATTTCCATCCCACTCTCCCTCTAGAGAAGAGAGGGAAACAAAGAGAGAGCGAGTCCTCTTTTTTACTCTTGCTCCTGCTGCCCCACACTGGTCTGGTTGAACAGTGTACTCAGTCCACAGAGACTCGTTCATCATCGTTTTTATCTGTAAAGCCTTCCATCGTCAGCCTTAAAAAAAGGAATATCAATAACCCATTTCTACTTCTTCTTATTCCTCATCGTATTATTTCCCTTTCTGATTCCTCCTCATATTATCTCTCTGCACAAACCCAGCAACATTCAAGAAAAACAAAAAACCAGAGAGACTTTGCTTTAGAGTGGCTTGGAAAGGGGATATATTTCGCAGTAAGCTAAGCTCAATCCTCCTTTTTACTCTTTTTTACTGTTTTACTCAAGTCTTTGCTTGTTTGTGAAACAATCTCTCAGATCCTCCTCTATCTATGTATCTATCCCTCTTTCTCATTTTCAGTTTCAGGGGGGAGAGGTTTTAAGTAGTTGCAGAGGATAGTGTTTGTGTATGACCAAGAAAAAGCAATGGGTGTTAGTGGGTATTCAATTCCTTGCCTTTTCTCTCTTTTATCCTCCACCAACCTCCTGTCCCTGTCCACCCAAATTAGCATCCACCCCATTAACTAATTACTTGGAAAACATACATAGTGCAGTTACTTCTGTGTATTTGTATCAATTACTTTCTGCAACTTCTTCCCCCTCTCAAAACACTGCCATTTGCCTACCCAAATCTACAGCAAGAAAGGTTTCCCTTCATTTCTCTCGTGCGTAGTTTCAGTGTTGAATTTCATCTCAGACCAGCATATTTCCAAAGTTTTCCTTCTCTTGTAAAGAAGGAGAAGGAAAAAGCCAAGGAATTTGGAAAGGGAGAGAGCAAATGGAGAGCAGCAGCCCCAGTCCATTGTTTCCTCTGCGATGGGAGAGTACTGGGGACCAGTGGTGGTATGCCACCCCTATTGACTGGGCTGCCGCCAACGGGCACCTGGATGTGGTGCGGGAGCTGCTTCGGGTGGACGCAAACCTCCTAATAAAGCTGACTTCCCTGCGCAGGCTGCGCCGCTTGGAGACAGTTTGGGATGACAATTTCTCCTCTGCACCTCTCGGCCGCTGCACCATCGCAAAGGCCCTCCTCTTCGAATTTGAATCCAAACACTCCCCGAATGCCCTTATCAGAGCTGGATATGGCGGCTGGCTCCTCTACACTGCAGCTTCAGCGGGTGACTTGGATTTTGCGAAGGAGTTGTTGCGAAGGGAGCCTAGATTGGTTTTTGGAGAAGGGGAGTACGGGATCACCGATATCTTCTATGCGGCTTCAAGGAGCAAGAATTCTGAGGTTTTCAGACTCTTGCTTGAGTTTGCCATCAATCCGAGATCTTGGGGTACTGAAGATGTTGAGGAGGGGCAAGGACAGATCAATGGTGTCTCTCCACTCTTGAGGTCGGAGATTATGAATAGGGCGGTTCATGCTGCCGCGAGAGGGGGAAATTTCGAGATGCTTAAAGAGCTTCTGAATGATCTCCCTGATCCTTTGGTTTATAGGGATTTGCAGGGTTCGACTCTGCTTCATGCGGCAGCTGGGAGAGGCCAGACTGAGGTGAGCTTGTCTTTCTTCTTTCTTGACATAGGTCTTCTTCTTTAACTGCTTCATCCAGGATTTCAATTTACATCTGGCAGGTTTGCATATAATGTAGAATATAGATGGATGATTTGGATCTTTTTCCACTGCATGGACCTTGAGGTGGTTTGGCTTTCATGTATGTGCTGTTAAAAGTTGGAGTTCGACAGTTCCTTGTATTTACTTCAGTTCTCTGAAAATGTTCAGACTTCAGAGTCTTTAACCTCATCAAAGTTGGAATTTTTGTAATTTGAGTACATATATATATGTACATCTCCACTTCCGATTCTAATTTTGTCGTTAAGAACTTTATGTGATCTCATCCTAGTAGTTAATCAGCTAGATCTATTGCTGAAATCAAGTATTAAAAGGCTTATTCTTAAAAACTTGCTTTTTTCTATGGATCCTCAGTGTTCAGCTGGATGGCCTTTTTATAGGAAGTGACATCATTGAAGTATGAAATGCAAAAGAGAAGCAGATGTGACGTGAATTGCTTAGTTGTTTGCCTCTTTCAATTTGAATTCTTTCTTTGGGACAAAAGTTATCATCTTTCTTGCTATTCTTGAAAATAAGTGTGAAATCATGGGACACACCATGCTACCCACGTGTTTGGGGTCGCTAGGCTCAGTCACACACTGCCTCTCCTTTAAGGGATGATTCACTCGACTAGTTTATCATAACTTTCATTTCATCAGATCTAGAATGGGCAAACTGCTGCTACTAACCCCAAATACTAGATTGTTTTATTTCTGTGGTTAATTATACTTGTTTATATCTGTGTTCTGTAAAGAGGATGGAAATAGTGTCTACTAGTGTCAATAATTGCTTAAGCTCTTTTGCTTTGAAGAGATATCTCTATGTTTTCTGTTAGGGATAATTTCATCATTAGTTTCAGTGTTCAAGACTCATTGCCATGGGCATTGAATCACTGGAGTCACTCGGACCCAGCCCCCTACCTGGTTTGGGGGGTCCCAATTCAACATTCTCGGTATCTAGGTTCAGAACTGATAGGCACCAGCTGGTTCTTGGTCGGACTCAGGCACTCAACCTTTGAGGTCCTCGCTGAATTGGCCAGAACTTGCCAGGTCTTTTTTTTTTTACTGACAAAAAGAACGCTAAAAGTTGCCATAATTTTTGTTTTGCAAAGTTTTAACTTTTGTATTGAGAAGGGAAGTGTACAAAAAATGGAACACCCACTACCTGGGTGTTCATATATCAAAAACCTCGTATGGGGTCCAAAAAATGCTATACAGCATAAGGTGTGTAAAGTAAAATAAAAGAGCTGATTAGGTCTTGAAAAGATGCTAAAAAATCCCCTGCATATGCTTCCGTGAGTCACCTTCCTTAGCGAGGCTGCCTGCTGCAGCATTGGCCACCCTCCAGGTATGCCGCTGAACCACGTGCATGGCCCTGTCAAGGTGAAAAATCTTGTCAATGATGCGCTCCAATCTCCAGGGACATGGGGAGGATCTAGATACCCAAGCCATGACACTCTTGGAATCCCCTTCAACTACTAGTGCTGTCCCCCAAGATGGGTGGCAGAGTCCCACCAGAAGGGCCAAGGCTTCGGCCGCCTAGCAGTCGGTGTACCCAGCAAAAAAGGAGAAGGAAGAGAGTGTGGTGCCCTCGGGATCTCTCAATATGCCCCCATACCAGTGGGGCCTGGGTTGCCAAGAGAGCAACTGCCAAAGTTAAGTTTGACTTGGCCCTGTTCTGGGGCTCTCCAAAGATAGAAACAGGTGATGTGTACTGTCGGTAGGGAAAGTGAATTCCTCCAATTGAATTGGAAATCCAAAAGTGAGCAATGCTCGAAAAGCTTGTGGTTCTTGGCCCAGAAAATGCAAGAGATTTGATTTTGTTAATAAGGCACAACTAGTGCATCTGCTCTCCTCGTTGTTACGCTCCAACCAAATGACCCACAGTGTAGCAGCAACAGCTGCACCTCAAATAGCTCCCCGGCTTTGGCTGTGGAGGGGAAAAGAATGCCACGATGAATTGGGGAATGGAGGATAGAGTCACCCAAACCCAACCAAAGAGCTGGAGAAGGTGTCCCATAAGGAGCTGGCTAGCAGGCAGTGCATGAACAATTGGGGTTTAGTCTCTCTTCCTCCATGCACATAGTGCACCTGTTGGGTAGTTGTAGGCCTCTACACGGAGTTGATCTACAGTCAAGGCTCTTATCGGAGAAAGTGATCCAACTGAATAGTTGGATTATAAGTGGGGTCATGGTGCACCAGGCTTTAGGCACAGAAAGGTTAGAAGGGGGGGGGGGGATTGAAAGGCTTTGTCGAAGGAGGATACGGAAAGATGCCTGAGTTGACAGGGACCCAAATCATCTTGTCGCTCCCTTCAGAAGGTAGGAAGGTAGAATGGAGGAGGGAAGGAAGGGACTGAAATTCAGAGATTTCTAGATCTAACAAGGGATGTCTAAACCTTGGGTGCTAGCCATGGCTTTGACCCACCAGTTGAAAACAGCCTGCTACCATGGCCAAATGATTAGTCTCAATCAGGAAGAGAAGGGGGAATTTGTCTTTGAGCGGGGTTTGGTGCAGCCACAAGTGAGACTAGAAGAGGACACGATGATACGCACGAGAGTGGAAGCAGATCCGGGAGGTGAAGTGGGGCAGGCTGCCAAGGAGGGATCTCCAAACCCCTGAGCAGTTTGGACCAACCCTTTTGGTAGGAAGCCAGGAGTCGTTTGGGCAACAATATTTGTGTCGCACTACATCCTGCCACAGGTGGGTCTCCTGCATGGCAAAACTCCACCACCGTTTGCCGAGCAGAGCTAAGTAATTGGCTTTGAGATTACAAACACCTAATCCCCCTTGCGATTTGGAGAAGCACACTTTGGCGTAGGAAATGAGATGGAATCTTCTTCCCCCCTCTCCTGCCTAGAGAAAATTCTTCATAATTTGTTGTACTGTTCGGTTACCGAGGCCAGCATGAGAAATAGAGACATATCCTAACTATGGGATGCTGGAGAGGGGTGCCTTGATGAGGGTAAGCTGCCACGCCGAGGATAGGTATTCTTCCAAACCACGAGTCTACACTCCACTTTATCTACAATGTGACTCCGTTGAGAGGTCTTAGGTTTACCAACATAGAGAGGGAGGCCCAAATAGGTGGAGGGCAGTTGTTCCACCATGCGACCCTATATATCAGCAAGGGAGGAGAGTGATTCAGATGACAATTCGACACCCATCATCTTAGTTATGGTCATATTGACCCTGAATCCCGTGCCCATCTCAAAACACTTAGAGAAACATCCTTAGATACTCCAATTGGATAGCGTTAGTGTCGCAGAAAGTAAGGGTATCGTTGGCATACTGAAACTAGGAAATTTCCGGTCCATTTCTACAGACCTTGAACCCCTTGAGGAGGCCACTTTGGTACATTCCCGAGATCGACCTGCTGAAATCCTCGGCAACTATGATGAAGAGGAAGGGGAATAGTGGGTCTCCTTGCCTGAGACCCCTAGAGGAAGGTAAGAAACCCTTAGGTGAGCCATTGATCAGCACCAAGAAGGATAGAAATGAACACTCTAATCCAAGATCGCCAGTGACGCCTGAAACCCATTATGGATAAAGTAGTGTCTGGGATGTTCCAATCGAAATGGTCTTGTGCCTTCTCCCAATCAAGTTTGATGATCACCCCCAGGGATTTGGCCAGATGACGGGTGTGGATGCATTTGTGGACCGCAAGGGCACCGTCAAGGATTTGCCGATCTTTTACAATGGCTCCTTGTGTAGGGGAGATCCCCCACCCCAAGATACCTCTCAGTCTAGTGGCAAGGATCTTGGATAAGATCTTGTAGGAACTATTGATGAGACTTATGGGCCTAAAATCTTTAAGTTCCTCAGCACCTGGCTATGAATGTAGTATTCATGGCAACCTTCGGGGGGTATTAAGCCCCCAAATTTCATGTTTGGGCCTGTTTGCAACTCCTTATCGAATCTTTTAAAAGAATAGCAAAGGATTGACAAAATTTTGCAGATTTGAGAGAACTAGGAATCTGAAGCCTAGCTCCCAAACTATTCAAGCTTCTGCTTTTGCAGACTTTAATGTCTGATTTGTATCTACTAATTGCTTTTACACTATTTATAGTTTGTAAGTTTCATGTTTTTGTTTCTTAGAGTAAAATTGTCACCATAAAATTATAGATTTGGTTTGTTTCGTCAAAATACTCTAGATTTACATCAATCTAGGTATCATTTCAGCTAGATCTAGCTTTCTTTTCAGGCAACAACTAGAATATGTATTTTTTGAAAGAAGGACAAGGTGAACTAGCACAGCATATGCGGTTTTTTATTTTTCTTCTTTTTATCGGCTAGAACACTTACAGAAGTCAAAATACAATAAAATCAACTCAAAATAAACAAGAATAAATTACAAAAGAGGTTCTCACTTGCTGCTGCTGATAAGAACTGTTTTATTCAATATCCAAAAGTTATATAAGACTCTTGGAACAAGAAAACATAAACTGCAAAGCATTAAGTAAAACTGCCAAAAGATTACCTCAACTGGACTTTGTACACCCCACTTTGGGTCTCCTTCTCCAATGGCGAACAATATCAAGGTCTACCTCAGATTTTCAATGTATGGGAAGCCTTAGGCTGTCACTATTAATCAAATCAGAGAGCAATGGTGGAACTAGAAGCAAAAACAAGAAGGCCTTGATGCCTTTTATGGTGCGTGCCCCCTCTCTTAGCACTATGCTTGGGACGTGCCCCCTATTTTTCTCTTAATAAAATTTCTAAGGAATTTTGGGAGGCTTAGAGAGAGATGAGAGAGCAAAAAGAGGGGCATGTGGCTCAAGGAAGAGAGAGGGAGAGAGAGCTCACGGTGTAGAGTATATGAGACCCATAGAGTCTATTTATAGACATTTTTTAGGGTTAAGATTTCTTGGGTTAGCCATCCTTATGGAGAATAGATCTAGACTATTGACCATAAGAGACCTGTGGGGTGAGAGATCGTAGCCG